TGAACACTCATTATGCATTTGCATGACTGAAGGGAATAATGAGTTCCAAGTATCTCACTGTAAAAAAAATATAATTTGATTTAGCGAAAGCTGCAGAATGCACAAAGCAATTTTTCTTCATTACACAGAAAATCTGATTAAGTTGAGCGGGTGGGCAAAGAGGAAGAAAAATACAAGTTACTAATTTTCTTTTTTGTACATTTGGAATAGTATGGATTTCGTTGGAATATTTGTTGATTAAGTTTTTTCAGTAATTTATAACATCTTTGGTTTAATCTAGGTAAACAAGAAGAAACACTGAGTTACTTAACGAGTAAGGTATAAACAAATAAGTTATGAGGTGTATTTTTTTTATAGAAATAGACAAGAGAGTCATAATCAAGTAAAAGTATTTGGAATTAAATGTCGTCTTTTCCACCAATTATTAATTGTGCGCAAACTAAAATACTTTTAGAAAAGAAGTCAGTATGTTGTGTTAGAACAACAAAATATTAATGTGTGTGAAGATGTTTCACATATCTTTATCAAAGGTGCCAAAAAGAATAAAATCAGATGTATTTGCTTTGATTTGTTTTTGACAAGTTGTATAAAAAAAAAAGAGTTTACCATTTGATGAATGTGTCCTGCTGAATTGAAGTCCTTAGATGAAAAGAAAAGAACTTGGATGAAAAGAACTTGCAGCGGCTCTCAAGTCTGTCTCTGTGACTCAGCACTCATTGTGTCTTCACAGATATTGAAGTCACCCGTACAACCTGGGCGCTAATGCACCCACATACTGTTGTGGATACTGGCTTTTGAACAGGGCACTGATAACAAGCTGGATGCTCTGCCTTCCTGCAGCATCCAGGGATTCTGAAAGAATTTTAAAGTTTGAACAAACAAAGAGAAGGAAGGCAGGATGTCTGGATGATGGACAGATGGATGCTTGAAGGGAGGGAGAGCTGTACAGAGTAATAAATTGATAAACAGAATGATTGTTGCATAGAGAATACAATCTTCAATCACAAAAATGTTGATGTAACCTATTATGTTGTTTCATACCCTAAACAATTGCTTATGTTAAACCAAATTCCAGACTTTTATTTCTTTGTCTCATTGCAGTAGCAGTGATGGACTGTGTTTCCCTTAGTTCTGTGATTACAGATAGACACATTATTAGGTAAAGTCTTTGCCAACACAAAAAGAGGGACTCTCCTCAGTTTGAGTGGACTCTGCATTGATTTTGTTTCTTTAAGGCAGAGATACGCTCACAAAACGACACACACACTCTGTGGCTTACAGGAAAGTATTAAAGGCAGCATGGTTCAGGTGTTAAATCCCTGGGATGTTTGTGTGTGAAACAATCACCGGTACAACACAGCCGTGACTGATGGCACAAGGTAATAAAAATTAAAACCTGAGAGTGGGGATTTTTTCAAAGCTCAACTTTTAAGATTTCATCTTTCATCAACAGCTAATGGAAACACATTTCTTATGCTCTTCTCAAATTTCTTTTCAATTTTATTGAAAATATTGTTGCAGATAAGTTTGTGTGAAATGACAATGAGTAACTTCACTGACTGTAATACCAAGTGAGGGAGCTAAAAATATGATGCAACCACATAGATCTCACACCACATTGACTGATGTGTCTGTGGCACGACAGCCCAGGAGATCGGTTGTGGGAGAACAGGAGAGAAACGTGGGGACTGAATGTGGCTGCCTTGCTGCTATTTGGGGCTTTTAGTCGCTATCCAGTTCATTGACCGGGCTTCTGCTCAGCAGCCAATCATAAGACAGCAAGCAGGGACCTGAAGCCTGTTTTAGCCCACAATCAACACCCCACAGATGCTGTCATGGTTGAGCACAGTCCATGGACAGTCGGCATGGGATAAAATGAGCTGATGCTGGATTGCTCTGTGCCACACTGCTCACATATATTTATATATTTTTTCTTAGACATGCTGAAGTAGTGAATAGTAATTTTTTTTTACACCCCTCTGACCTGTAACACTCTCTGCCTTTGGGAAGAAATGCGAGAACACATGGTTACATCAGGCTTTCGAAACATGCATTTTTAATAGCCTGACCAGCTGTTTTAGATTTGCACAGAGTAGCTGTCAAAGCACATATCTGAGCATGTTGGAAGGAGAAGCACATAGGCCTTGCTGGGCACAATCCGTTTGTTGACAGAAGGATACAGATGGATGCTGTTAGTATCTCCTGAATTTCACAGAGCACTGGGATGTGAAATCTTTAAGATGACAGATCTGACTGCATCAGACTAGAGCAACCTTCTGCAGCACAAGCTACGTGTGAAATTGAGAAAATATGCTTCAGTAATAAAAAAAAACAAAGCAAATCTTATCACCACTGTTTCTATAATAATTAAGTGAGGTTCAATCAGAAGGTTGCAACTGGCTGGATATTTAAAAAACCAGATACCGGCCTGTAACTATTTTCCAATTTTCAAGTTTTTTTTTTAAATAAACTGAAGATGGAACACAAACCTTCATTATGTTATACCTTGTTGTTTTATTCTTCTCTAATTTATGTATTTATTTCTTTTAAATTAGAGGAGGAAAAAAATTGAACGTAGTTACATTTACAGAGCATCCATGGGCTAAAATTAGTAAGTATTTCCAGAGACTCATAGTTCTTGGTTATTGTCTTGAAGTAAAGTGAAGTTCATCTCCAGTTTTAACTCCGTCCACCTTCTTACCAATAGTGACCAGCTTCCCAGTAAAACTAAATCATTCCCACAGCATGATCACGCTACCACCATGTTTCATATTGAGAGTGGCATGTTTAGTCTCGTGGGCAGACATGCTTTTGATGCTGACTCATGCTGGGATTTGAGGATATGTTTGTGACATTTTGTTTCTTGACATTTAGAGCAGCATAATATATAAAATCACAATATCCCAGTGTGCCCCAAGGAGTTCCTGAATCATTGTTTTATTTGTTTTTTATGTTTCACTTATCACATGTTTAAACTCTGAGTGTCTACAATATGTTTTGGCAATAAGATGGAATTGTTGCCCACAGCAAATATAAACTTGTTATGTATGCTTTTAATATACCTTGCATTTTAGTATTCAAGGTTTTTGAGTCTATGTGATGGCACTTGTATTTTTATTGTTTTTTTATGCATTCTGTACAGCATTTTGGTTCTAGAGATAATGAAAGATATTTAATAAATAAAGCTTATTAAATATAAGCTTTATTTATATAAAGCTTATATCAAGCATCTTATATAAGCATATAAGCATATCTATATCCTAAAATATCAGGATATAGATTTTAGTTACTAGATGCTGATGAAAGCTCCTCAATTGATCTCCTCATTGTATTATTCCGAGTGCATGTTTTCTTAATATTTTCAGTTCAAGTTGACTTTTGTATTCCTTCAGCGTAAATAACATTAAACATCTTGCAAAATAAAAAATAAAAAAATACTAAAATCAAGTCTAGTGCAAGAATCTCTATTTCATCCTCAGTAAATCAAATATGACAATCTTTCAGTTTCATTTTAAAATGCAACAGTCTATGTTTTCAGAGATGCTGCTGTTGGATGAATTTACTAAAATCCCAAAATTGATTTTCTGCATTAAAAGTGTGAAAGTCTGTGGAGTGATGAGTGAGTCACATTCTTGCTATATTTTCAGTTTCACTTGTAGAGTCATTGTTTTAGATTGTATCCTTTTCTTAAGCATCAATACAAGGGTGTCCCTTGTGGGCCATGACAGTTAATTTTTCAAAACTGTCAGACAGAAAGGGACCTTTGTCAAACATGACACAACAGTCAAGATAGAGGAAACAGGAGAAAAGTGAGACAGGATGAAGGGCATTTTAATGAATGTAAGCTGATTCACTTTAACTTTGTATTAAAGCACAGGTGGGCAGTGAAGTATGGCGGCATATTGGCCTGTGGCTCCTTCGTCACTGCATTGACAAGACAAGTAATTTCTGACGCTCCTGGGGAGCTGGCAGCCAGGTGAACCCTGGGGCAGAGCACGACAGATGTTTTGACAGAAGGAGTGAGGATGTGAAAGGCTCCATGAATCCTCAGGTGGAGGAAGTAAAGAAATTCTAAGATAATGAGGTTCCTTTTCTAAGAGGCATTTGCGTAAAAAGGTTTTTATAAGTGCTTCCGACCTATATCTGCAGCTTCTATGTAGACATAATTAAAACTGTGGAGGAATTGTCAGGAAAGCGTCATATTTTCAAACACCACATAATCATTAACTTTTATTCTCTCTGTTTTTTCAGCCTGTTTCAGGTTGGCCATTGTCTAATTAGATTCAGAAAAAAAATATGCTGAGAACTGTACTTTCATGTGCTGGTAAATGTTGACATTGATGCAGCAATATGAGTAAATTTGATTTAAGTTGATTTTAATTCATATTTTTGCGAAGAAATTGTTCAATTAAGTTGAACAGCTAAAAGACGAACATGAAATTAATTAAATTCCAAGCACTTTTTAAAATGTACAAACAAAACAATCAAATTAAAACATTGTATAATATTTTTAAGTGATTTTAATTCAATTTTTAAAAATATACTATATAGTTTCTAAATTGTCCCTTGTGTCTCAGTACTGATTTCTCAATCTTGAATTATCTTTCTGAAACACCAACCCAAGTTGTGATGGGCCCCCGTTTGTCAGAGGATCACAGTAAAAGACTCAAATAAAACATTTTACATTCAAGAAAGTGGCATGGAGACATTTTCCTCCTCAAAGGGCAACAAAGGTGTCAGGGTTTAAGAAGTTGAGTCTGCTGTCAAGGTTGCTGGAATGTTAGCGTCAATGCTAAACCCATTGAAGCAGGACAAAAACTTACATTTTCTGAACCAACCTGGAACTACATACATGTATGTGACTGATAACATTTAACTCCTGATTTAGACTCTGGAAAAATCTAAAAGTCACCAAATAGACTCTGTCTGACAAGATGAAGTAGGCAAAAATATTTCAGAAGCAACACATCCGATGAATGTGATGAATAATACACGTGATGAATGAAAGTAAGGAAACTATTTAATTTAATTCCATTTAAATTGTTTAGATAGGTTATCAAAAACATGTAATGATGCTAAAAATTTAAGCTTACAAACTAACAAGATTCATCCAATTCAAACCAATTTAACATGTAATATTTATTACCCTCCTATTATTACTCATTTTTATAGTGTAGATTCTGTCCAAAGGGAGCCCACACAAAAATGCTGAAAGTCAAGCATGAAATTAGATTCTAATAACTTTTTAATCACATTTAAAAATCAGTAGAGTCGTTAATATGGAAGTCTTTTCCCTGTCGGTTCTCAACCACATTCCCCGTCGTTTTTTTTTTCTTCTTTTTTCTAAAACAAAATGTCTTTCACCATTGCTGCGAATTGGTACATATTTTTATTTCTGTCCAGAGTCTTGCCCATTGTATGCCAAATAGAGCAAAAACGTTCAACATTAAATTCCCCTTTGCGTTTGCAAAACATTTGCGTCAGACTGATGTTTCGCAACTCTCAAATGAGATCAGTGCGTGATTGGACACTTAACTAAAGAGGATCTCAGCGCACTGTTACCTCTCAGAGTGTTGGCATTAAAAAAAGGCCACACGAATAAAGGTGAGCAGCTGTGCGCCTCAGTCCCCATCAGCGTGCCCTTACAGAGAGCGCTCCTTTCGGCTTTTTAGAAACTGCACAAAACATAAAAACAGGGCCTTGCGCTCGGGACTGTTGATCGTCGCACCCTCTCCATCTGACTCCAGCACCAAGACTGCCAAGGTCCTCGTCCGTCAGTAGGCTCCAACCACCACCGCCTCCGTCTCTTTGGAGGGTCTTCTGTCCGTCACCAGAAAGTTTATCATCCCCTCGGACTTTATGAGGAGGTTGCAGCCCAGGAAGAAGATGCCAAACACCACGGTGAGGGAGAGGACGCACATGACGGCTATCTGGACCACCCTCATTATGAAGAGGCTCCTCTCGTCCGGAGCCGCGGCCACGAAGCCGTTGTCGGTCACCACGGAGGAGAAGTTGCAGCAGAAAAACTCCTCTGTCTTGTTGAACAGCCCGGCCTCAGTCTGGTTGAACCCGGTGTTATTCATCTCTACTTTGGCATAAAAAATAAATGAATAAAACTTTCCAAAAAATAAAAAAATAAATAAATAAAGACAAAATCAAACAGGGGAGAGATGATATCCCGCGGCAATTGTCATCAAGTGAGGAGTGAGGATGAGGAGCGAAGTTGGAGAAGTTCCTCCGGATCAAGCAGCGCTCTTCTGGAGTTTAGAAAGCTGCTTTGGAATCGCATTACTGGAGATCCGGTGCGCTGCGTTGCCAGTTTCAAAGCGGAATGAATCCACACACCCCGCGGTTAAATAGCCAGACTGCTGCTACTTGGGTTGGAGGAAACGACCAGAGCGCCACCATGCGGACAGACTGTGAGTTGGCTGTGCCTTCAGTCAGGATGATGTGATATGATGATACTGCGACTTTTTTTGCGCAGGGGGCTGGATGTGCGTGTGTGTGTGATTTTGATAAATGTTTCGGCTTGGGGTGTGCATCTGACTCATCTTGAAGCTGAACCTCAACAGATTCCCTGCTGACCTTGTGTCAAATAATGTAACAATCAGCTATCATGTCCATATTTTTATGTTTACAGCTCAGTGAAAAAAATATTTGATCAATCATATTTGATTTGTTCAAGAACTCCTGTTTGATTACATCAAATTGTCTTTATACTGCAAGTCAGAGAATAGGCTTTAAAAAAGATGTCTTAGTTTATAGATCACTGAATGGCCTACATTAGGAACCTGATGTTGTTGCATCAGCCTCCCAGACCACTTGGGTCTTCCGCTGCATCTCCAGAATCCAAATCAAACATGAAGAATCAGAATTCAATTTTTACTCTATACTAATCTGCAACAAACATCCTGCAATTGTAAGAAATAAATGTAAAAAAAATAAAAACTAATATTGAAATACTGAAATTCTACATCAAGGTTAAAAACATATTCAAGTTTTTTTTTGCTTGTCTGTTTTTTTTATAATCCTTCAAATCATGAAAAACAATGCATATCGTTGTGTAATACAAGCTTTAGTTGTTGGTATTGAAACTTTCCATCCGCTTTAAAATAAGCATGATTTATCTAAACAGAGCACATCAACTACTGTGGGTGTATGACAAACTAATCGTCAGAAAACTAAACATATTATGAACTATGGATATTCCAGTCCACCTTTGCTCGGTCAAATCCATGAAATGCACTTCAAGCATTTTGTTTCAGACACAGAGTGCAAAATTTTTTTATTAAAAACACGTTAAAAAAAGATCAATAAAAAGCAAGTAAAGTACAATGGACAAACTCAAAAGAACTCAAATCAGTTGTCTTCAGCCTCTTGTGATGCCATCAGCAGTACTTACATGTGGAAGTTTGTTTTTGACAATGAGATTGAAATTACCATTAATGGAAATTACAGTCAGAGACAAAAGATAAGATCAGTGTATCTTATTTAAAAAAAATGTTTTAAGAACACATTTTCAATCGTCTGAGAATAAACCCATAAATCTTTAAATAGCCAGATAAAAGTGTCACATTAAAAGACAACTCAGAGTTCGTTGCTGTACATAACAGAGAAATAAAATTTTACTGTATATTAGACAAACTGTCTGCTCTGATTTGGATTTAAGTGTTCTTTCACACCACTACCGCTAGATGGCAGCATCGATCAACATGAGCCGATTTAACAGAGTTTAAACCGGGCGCATGCCAACAACCACCCATAAAGGCTGTTCAGACATTTGAGCACAATATAAATACTTTTTGAAGTTCAAAAAGAATAAACTAAATAATTAATGAAAGACACTTGATAACTCCTATGATTTTTTCCTTTATTTATAAAACTGCACCTTTAAAAACCGTAAAAGCCTGAAAGTTTTCCATCACTTCAACTGCAGCCCACAACAGAAATAACAAACATGCAGTTGAAAAGAGGTTGCCTTCCTGATCAGCCACGTTTTCCTTGTTTATTCAGCATTACTTGATTTTGTCGTAGAAAATGAGACTGCTTTTTTGTAGCTTCAATTCAATTCAACTTGTGCACGAACACATACATAATGGATGGGCCTCGCACTGTGCTCTGACACGCGCATTATTTGCTACTCAAAGAGACAGCGCCCCCTCTTGGTGTCTCTGACTCATTGTAGTAGAAAGTCTTGTTTTCAACAAGGAAACTTAAAGACGAGGAGGAAATAATTTTTAACATGTTTCTCTTTTAGTTACGATTTTTTAAAAAAGTTTAACTATTTTTTCAAATTGTTTCTAACAATGCTCCTGTTGCTATTTTTTAATTAACTGACTAAATAGTAATAAAAAAAGGAAGAGTGGAGAGTAACGGCCACCAGACCCCACTGAGGCTCCACTTCACAACACACCCCATGATTGATGCCGCTGTCAGCCAATCAGAGAGAAGAAGAAGAGGGACCCATGCAGGTCGGTGTGAGCGGAGCTGAGGTTAGATTGTATGGAGCGTCATCTCGCCGTCTTCTCACGGTTTCTGTGTACAGCCGTGGAGCAGGTGCGTGGACAGAACCTCCGAGTGAATAAATAAGGAGACCCCTCCTGACTGTTTCCTTATCGACCGGTTTGACTGCGGCTACCTCAACTGCACGGCTTAGAAATTACACCCAGGACTCTCAGCAGGTACCATGAGAGGTCTGACTGGACCAGCAAAGGCTCACTGGTTGGTGGACAACCCCGGACCGCATCTGAGGTGTCATTTCCAGACGGAGTCCGCTTAGCTAAATTAGTTGCTTTCTTTCTTAGGCGTTTGATTATGTTCAACATGTTGCCTGGCAGCGAGCCTGGATCAGGTCACCGGTTCACCACAGCCATAATATAGGTAAGCAGAGAGAGCTCTTTTCTGTTTTATTCACGCCCTGCATTGGAATATTATGATCACATTACAAGTGCAGTCGCAACTGTACTTCTTTTGAGATTATTGCTATAGTTTATTTGTCCAGATTGAATTGGTCGGCTGTTGTTGCTGTACTGACATCCATGTAGCACCCAGCAACAAATGAGATAATCATTGGTAAGAGGAATCATGGCGCAGATGAAGTATTTCATAACATTTTGGAAATATTTTAGAAGACTGTGAACATTGTAACGTTGACCAGAATGTCCTACAGTGAACAGCCTAATGGGTTTACAGAGATCAGCTCTATAATCACCGTCTGTTCCAGAGAGGATTGTGTAAAGAAAACATTTCTCAGCCTCAGTACTTTAAGAACAAATTAGTGGATTATCCAGTACATTACTGACTTACAAGAGTATTCACACTCTTTTGAAACATTTCACGTTTTGCCACAAAACAACTACAACCTTAACTGTGTTTTATTGGGAATTTATGTGTGAACAAAAAGCAGCACATAGTTGTAAAGCGGAGGGAAAATGATTGTTTTCAAATATATTAATTTAAGTAAATGGCTTCAGAAGTGTGTAATTTAGATCAGATTCTTGTGGCATTAAATGGAAGCCCACGTTGCTTTGATGGCAGCCTTGAGGTCATCTCGTCTTCCTTTTGACACAAACCCATAGATGTCAGACTTTGCTGCCCTGTCAAGCACAGGAACACCATGTTCAATTAACCAGCTTTTGGTTCCTTTGGCAACCAAAAGAACTGCAGTATCGGCGGGCGCCAAGTCTTGCTGGAAAAGGAAAGCTTCTCCAGAAAAGCTTGTCAGCAGTTTTTCAAGTTATGGGGTTCTGTGACTCTCCACTCTTGCTGCAGAATCTTGATTTCCTAATGCAATGCAAAGCCTTACTTTCATTTTTAAAGAGGACTTTGGAACAAAGTCCAAAAGTCTAGTGTTTTTTCTTCACAGTCCAGATGAGTTGCATGTGATGTTGCATCTGGTCCAGGAGTAGCTTGACACAAGGGATATAAAATTTGTTGCCCATGTGTGGTATTCATCTGAAGTAGTGGCTCTTGATGTGATAACTCCAGCCTCAGTCCACTTCATGAAGCTCCTTGAAATTCTTGGATGGACTTTGCTGGACAATCCTGTCAAGGCTGCGGTTATTGCCACCATTACTGTCACACTTTTCCCATCCTCATAGAATGTTATGAGCCATCTGTTTGCAATATTATTTTTTGTTTTAAAACAGAATGTAAGATGTCTATCAGTTCTAAGCCATATCACGTTCACAATATTTATAGTTTTTAAGATGTACTTGTATATGCTGTATGTTTATTCACCCAAGTGACAAATTTGATGCATTAAAATGCTATTTTCTTCCTTATCTCTGTCATTTTTCTCACAAGGTAAATCTCATGGTTTCATTGTCAACTCTGGCTGCAAGACTGTTCCTATTATTTCACAGAGGAAACCAATTTGCTAAGCAGCCTCTCCGCATCATGCAGTGAGTGCAGTCGCTCCTGTTCAATAAGTGACAAATGTAAAATGTGTAATCCAACTTGGAGAACTGTATCAGACATTTCACAACAAAGACTGCTGCCCGCAACCCAATTAGTTGTCACTTGAGAAGGCAGCTAAATCCTGCTTCTTGTCATGAAAGGAGAGGAAGAATTGGCCTTAGTGATACTCAAGTTTTTGTAGACCTGAGATATTATTCCATGCAGAGGAATGGGAGTAATTTAGTCGCCTGCCTTTGAAAGAACCTCAAGTAAGCTGCTTGCAGGGTGGTCTGCTTTTTTTTTTTTTTTTTTTTTACCCCTTGTTATTTACCACAGATACATCAACGCAGGTGATGTGGGCTGATATCAGGCATAATTTGACAATTAGCAGTGATTTGTGCACAGTGTGTAAATGGAGATAATATGCTACATGCAGACTTGTGTGTTTCTGGAGTTTTTTTTTAGCTGTGTTTTATGTCTGAAATCATCCGCTGCCCTGTGGGTGCTGCACTCACTCTGCTGGACACTGGCTGACTAGTTTTTGAATGTGGTACGAGGTACAAGTTTGCCCAGGGCGACAGCATCAGTTTATCTGAGTATGTAGATCGGCAGCGCATAGGATAAGATATGTTTGTGTCTGTGGAGTGTGACTCATTAGCAGGCTGCAAGGGATGAGAATGGAAATCAGTTTTAGTTTTCCTACAGAAAATGCTGCAGGGATTATGCACTGCTGAAGTGATTATGAAGGTGAATATACTTACATTATTCTCCCAGATGATTGAAAAAAAAATCTATTTCTTCTTTAAACTATATTTGAAAATTTGGTGTCAAACCAAGCAAAGTCCACTAGTACAGTGCAACAGATGTGATATAATGATTCCCAGGCTGTGGACAGTATCCAAAAAAGTATCCAGTATCCAAAAAAAAAAAAAAAGAT